TCTCTCTCTGTCTCTCTCTCTGTCTCTCTCTCTGTCTCTCTCTCTGTTTTCTCTCTCTGTCTCTCTCTCCTCTGTCTCTCTCTCTGTCTCTCTCTCTGTCTCTCTCTCTGTCTCTGTCTCTCTCTCTGTCTCTGTCTCTCTCTCTGTCTCTCTCTCTGTCTCTCTCTCTGTCTCTCTCTCTCTCTCTCTCTCTCTCTCTCTCTCTCTCTCTCTCTCTCTCTCTCTCTCTCTCTCTCTCTCTCTCTCTCTCTCTCTCTCTCTCTCTCTCTCTCTCTCTCTCTCTCTCTCTCTCTCTCTCACTAATTTCCCTATTCATTCTGTATAAATAAATGACCTGGTCCTGGACCTGGGGCTAGTTTCTGTGTACGTGTACATGATGTAGCTAAAAAGAAATTATTGAATGGCAGAGATAAGGGACGGTAGGCGGCGGTCGCGTCCTACCAAAGTAATTAGTTTACTGAGTATACCCTTTGGATTGAACAAGACCAGTACCAATGGAAGCTATCATAGAGCTTTTCGGTCATTCAATCCCGGCACCCACTACCTGAGGAAAACAGGCCACAAACCCTGGGCTGACCTCGCCACCCCCACCCTGGGCCACCCCCACCCTGGATCACCCCAACCTGCACCACCCGCCCTGCACCACCCGCCCTGGACCACCCCAACCTGGACCACCCCAACCCGGATCACCCCTGCCCCGATCACCCCCACCCTGGACCACCCCGCCCTGGACCACCCTGCCCTGGACCACCCTGCCCTAGACCAGCCTGCCCTGGATCACCCTGCCCTAGACCAGCCTGCCGTGGATCATCCTGCCCTGGATCACCCCGCCCTGGCCAAGTTGTGTGGATGATGCCAGCAGCCTATAACCCAAATCAATCGGTTATGTACTGGATCATGGCCATGTGTGTGTGTGTGTGTGTGTGTGTGTGTGTGTGTGTGTGTGTGTGTGTGTGTGTGTGCGTGCGCGCGCGTGGTGTGTGTGTATGTGTGTGTGTGTGTGAGAGAGAGAGAGAGAGAGAGAGAGAGAGAGTGTGTGTGTGCATGTGTGTTTGTGTGTGTGTATGTGTGTCTGTGTGTGTGTGTGTGTCATGGCAGGGCGTTATGCACGCTGTGTTCGTGTACCATGCACACACACGTACATGTTTATCAATGCTAACAAAGGAAAGCAAGGGCTACTTTGTGTGTTTCGGAGAATACAGCAAAACTTTCTCTCTTTTTTCTTTCCCTACTAGTTGCTGTTACACTCACTGATCCGCTAGGCTTATGCACAGATATACAGCATTCCGTCACTAGTGGGACCATTGTTATTAGGCTAGGGCCTGTTTTGGACTTCCCACTCTAAATAAAGAATACAAACAAAACAAACAAAACTTTAATAGAACGCACCTGCAAAGGCCATGGACATCTGCACTGTTGAGCTGGCATTGAAATGGCTGGCATAGGATAATGTAACAGTGATTGCAGGCTCCTCGAAACAGAACTAACCTGACTACCAATCTATGATCAGTGTTCAGACAAGCGACCGTTTGTCGAAAATGTCCCGTGACACTGAATGCTGAAGATGCTTTCTCATCAGGTGGAATACAGGAAGAAAGAATTTGAACAAGCTACCACAATGAAATTTATACGGGAGAGAGGTGATAGAAGCGCCACAAAGAAGGGGAGCCGGAAATCACAACTATAAGCATCATACTAAATGCATGACCTCACACACATAGAAATTGTGATGAAATGGCGCAAGTGTGAAGAAACCTCAGCAAGCGTGCGATGTATTGCAGCGGGAATAGAGTGTGAATTTGATACCGCTCTGCTTGCAATACATTGCACGGTTCTTAGGTTTCTTCACGCTTGGACCTTTTCGTCATAACCTTATTATTCAGTTATGTGTATGCCGGTAAGGTCACACATGTTACCCTTGTTGTTTCTTGCTACTCTTATTTGCACTGTTTCTATCACCTCTCTGCTAAACTTCAGTGTGTTTGTTCAAAATCCGCTTTTTTGCCTGTATTCCACCCGATCAGAAGGCATCGAAAGCACTTATCGAAATTTCCGAAAAAAATGTTGCTTGCGAGAAGCCCCAGCTGCCTGGAGCTTGCATTTAATTGATAGAATTTGTGTCTCCTAGAAACCTCTTTGCAGTCAATGGTGTGTTATATCCAGAAGGGTGTGTTATATCCAGAAGGGTGTGTTATATCCAGAAGGAACTTTATACTGAAGGTTTACTGTATGTGTGTAGCCGGTACCAAGCCAGCAGCACACAGTGTGGCGGACCACTGGCCTCGCGAATACTTTTTGAACCTCCCACGTCCCCGTGCTGCCCACCATTGGGAGCACGGCAAGCCCATCCTGGTCAGATGAAGATGCTTTGGAACTCAGTCGTGGCGGCCCTCACCTGTGAGATAGGATAGTGGCCGTGCGGTGTCGGTTCCGAAAGCAGTTCTGTGACCGCATGTTGTGTCTGAATGTCACAGCCAGGTTGATTGGTGGACAGTACTTAGCATGAAATTAGAGCCCAGTAGCAAACATCAACCTAAAAAACGGCCAACTGATATAGGACTGAGCAAGAACAGGGTAACTTTGAAGTACTTGAGGCCCAATCACAACCAAACAAGCCAGAAGGGAGGGAAGATTGCTGTGCCTGGTGCTTCCTGCAGTCCATGGCCTAATTGTTAGTGATGCTTGTTCTACTATGATCTGCACAGATCTCAACCGACTGGAGCAATGCTGTCACGGCTGATTCTTCTCCTGGCGCTGGCGTCGCCGTTGATTACTGCCCAGCCCCACCCTCACCCGAGACCGATTAGCCTGGAAGGCTGCGGTCACACCAAGGGTTGCTTTGCCATGCCCGAGGGCTGCCACCTGGGACCGCGCGGACACGAGGAGTGCGACGGTGTGTACACGCAGGAGGTCGAGCCGCACAACCCGCTCAACGTTCGCATTCAGCTCTACGGACGCACGGTGGCCGGCTGGATTGCCGTTGGATTCAACAACAAACAGCATATGGTGAGAATTGTCTCTTCCAGAGTACAAGCCGCACTGGAGTATAAGCGGGCCGCACCCAGATTTTTTTGTCACAAAATACGCACACATCCACCCTGTTTATCACTATAAATTTGATTTATCGTAGTATAAGCTGCGGCATTGACTCCATACTGTTTGGGGTGAATTACTGGTGTTTAATGTGCACCTTATACTCCAGAGAATACAGCACTAAGTGCAATGCTATAGGTGAAGCAGACACCAAGCATTTGCCATTGTCTCTCTTAGCAATATGCTATGCATCACGACTGTGCACAAGTGAAAGATCACTGGTATTTGAGGTGTAAGTTTCAGCCCGTATCCGGCTTTCTGCCGTGTTGTCCATTGCGCCGTGCCGTGTACTGCAGGATGGTACTGATGTGATCGCTTGCCAGGCGACACCGGAAGGACACATTCAGGTCAAGAATCTTCACAATGTCAACCATACCAACCACATGGATGACCTCACTAATGTGGTAAGTACTGCGGATGCCATGGCAGTGGAGGGTGTAAAACATTATGCCACTACTCTCTCTGCAGACTACGACATGTGACAGGACACAGGATTCTATTGTTGTAGAGCTGTAGCAAAAGCAACATAGAGTGATGTTGCGTCCCGCTTCAAGCCCCCCCCCCCCCAAACACCTTTAAAAATTGAATTGCCACTGCGCTATGTACGGTTCAGTGACTGATCAAAGTATTGTGTTTCCCATTCAGGACATGTTGCATGTACGTAGGCACTATAGAGTCAACCACTGTCCTAGTTTGTAGGTATTATAGAGTCAACCACTGTCCTGGTTTGTTGCTACTGTTCAGTAAAGTGAATGCCGCTAGGCCTGCGTAAGCATGCTGTATACAGTCAGTCACTCTATGACAATTTCGGATAGCCCCTCGGCGTGCCATAGGTCAAGGATCTCTGTAGCCACAGTCTACATATGTGAGCACTACATGCACATGCTTATTATGTGTTTGATTGCCGTTGGCAGGCACCCTACCTGTACGATGCAAGTGGCATGTTGCACAACGGATCCATCACTTGCCAGTAAGTCACATGCACTGCTATCAGTAGGCTGGCAACCTGATCAGTATGAGACCATTTCTACATGGACATTGTGCATCTTCTTCTAAGCAGCTGGTCTGCAATACTTCACAGCATGACACACTCATATCTGCATTTGGTGTTGGAGGTATATTTTGTATAATCAATATCCGGAGGCTCCACTGCAGCAAATTGATCATCTCTTAAACCAAAATCACTGTTGTGGCGGTGGTGGCGGCGGCGGTGGTGCTGGTGTTGGTGGTGATGTTGGACAATAGGGGTATACTGATACATGTACCACGGCCATCGCTCAATATTACAACATACCCATTCCTGTGGCTCGCACCGTCTGTTACAGGGCTGACCGTCCTCTGGTCACGGAGAATGAGAAGTTCGATGTGAACTTGAACCTGCCCCATTACATCCTCTTTGCCTGGAACTTCAACGGAACTGGTAAGACCCCGCAGACACTTAACCAGGGAGTCGTATAATACCGCCTCCCTGTACGCAACACAGTGGTGCAGAGTTTGCTGATGGAGACCCGATGAGTTGTGCTGCATTCCCGGTATGCGAACTGTGCGAGTAAATACTTTTGTATCTTTGGAGGGATGCAGGTCATTGGCCGAACAGATCCACTCTCTGTAGAAACGGTGTGTTTTCGTCCTGCTGCTGAGCTTTGGACAAAAATTGTGCCTAGGATAGCAGGAATGGGTGTGCCGATTCAATTGTTTCTCTCTGGGATAACAGAGTGACATAATTACCAGGCGGTGATGTAATACTGGCGCCTAGCCCGAATAGGGCACGGGGGCACGTGCACCCCCCCCCCCACCCCCTTGAAAAATTCGACCTAAGTTCAGCAGCATGCAGACCATTAGTGACATGCACCAGCTATCCTACACATATGGGGCCGTGCACCCCCCCCCCCTAAAAGGGGGAGCAGCTATGCCCCTTTTGAATGGATGTGTGTGACCATAGCCAGCTGTTCTACTTCTAAATCATTCACTTTGCAAACTGCCAGTGCAACAGAATAGTATGCTGGTCACCATATTCACACATTGCTCTGGTATGCATTACTTACCATTATTTACCAGAGGGCACTTTGCTTATTGTGCCCACAAGCATTGCTCCCACAAGTATCTCCGCTCACGATGGCCACTGTGTTTCATTTATTATTAATTTTGTACCCGGCTGTGTTGCTGTATCGGTGTCTCTCTGTGCTTCAACTGACAGCTCCGGCAAATGGCCCGTTGATGCACATGCACCAAGCCATGTCAGTAATCAGCAACCACACCTTGTCCGCACACACCATCTTCTTCAACAACATTACCGAAAAATCAGTGAGTTCATAGAGTTATTTCTACAAGCTTAGCTCCGCTGCAATGCCAAAATGAGAGATGACATAGCCCTCATAGTGAACTTGCTATCGTTGAGGGTGATGCGATGTGTGAGAGAATTCCAGATGCCCTCGATAAGTTCCAATACGGCATCTTCCTAATCCTGTGCACTGCACACTGTGGCATTGAGCAGTCTCGGCGCAAGACGAGGGCCGCTTGATTTGTGATAATCTTAAAATTCGCCTCTTTACTCTGCTGCATACGTCTATTGTTCTTCTGAACTAACTTGATGTGTGTAGGTTGACTTGTCGACCTGCGGTAAGACCAAGGGGTGTAGCCGTGCCCCGGCTGGGTGCCAGTCTGCCGAGGAATGCTACTATGTGTTCACGCAGCAAGTCAGTCAGCACGATTCCAGCATGGTCGAGTTTGAGCTGACTGGATATGTACATGGCTGGGTGGCCATGGGTTACAACTTCAACTACACCATGGTACGTTGCTGTACCTTGTCCTTGTCAGTGCTTATTCGTTATCAGAACATGCCTTTAAACAAAATTCTGAAAAATGTCTCCAAAGTCTTCACCTGAATGTTCAATTTACTTCTGCATCAGTTGTCAGATGATTGCCTAAGAGCTTTTTAAGCCAGTGGATACAGAAAATCAGAAGCATGCCGGTGCTCCATAGCTTGTGTGTGTGTTACGAGTAGATGAGATTCTTGACACAAGAGGCTGCGCTGGGCAGCAATGAGTGCACTCAATGATGGCCGAGAACACTCGATTGCACCCGACCTACTCAATGTCATGTTTTACCACAGCGTCGCACTGTGCCGCTGAATTTCATTAATTTAACTGTGCTGCATCACCGAGTCGTGCTGTGCTGTGGTCTGGCTAAATGGAAGCGCTCCACCTGGCGGCCATATTGATTTCATGACTATTCCAAACACCCACAGTTGAACAGCCCATTCCAATGCAACTTATAAGTGTAGATTTCGGCACATGAACGGGAAACTACATGTAGGTGGTGCGTAAGCCTCCCTATTGAACTAGATGACACTGCCCTTCTCAGGTCCGTGTTGTAATAAAATGTAGGGCGTTCTCCAAATTCTTGACTATTGTTGGGAGGAGACTGTCATTCTTTGTTGCCCTTGCTTGTTGCAGTCCTGGCTACATGTAACTTTAAGAGAGTTGCCACAACTTTCTCTTGACTTGAACATGTAAGATAATCACAGCCATCATTGCCGCCCGGCATTAATGATCATCATTTTCTTCTCCTTGTCATTTTCTAGAATGGTACAGATGTTGTCGGCTGCCAGATCACGCCAGAAATGGACCGTGTCGCCGTCAAGAAGCTCCACAACGTCAACCACACGAACCTTGTCGATGGCAAAGACACCGTAAGTACAATGGAGCTTGGCGACACCGCAGGATAGATGAATGTCGAAGTGCTACAGTCCAAGTGCCTAGGTCAAGAGCTTGGCATGCATTGGTGGCTAATGGAATCCTATGTCAAAAAGAAACCCACCCTACATTCTCTATTATAAAGCGCTGTGCTTTCTTGAGTATATTTTTTCAACACCCATCAACCCCGTGCTTATACATCTAATGCCAGTGTCCTGCTCATGTTCTGCTTCCGCCTTGCAGCAACACGGCCTCATGCGTCCCGAGGGTCGATTCGTAGATGAGCGCATCCACTGCCGGTGTGTGCTTCCCCGCGTGTCTTCTTGCATGCTGGGCTGGTTGCCATCATTACTATGGTAATCAATGCCCCATGTGCTGTAGAAAGCAGGGAGTAGTAGTACAATACCATACTTGCACTTCTCCCTGATAGAAAGCATAGTATACTTTGAAGGCCCTGTGCTGACCATGCTGGGTAGGAATGACCCTATATCCCCATGCTGGGTAGGAATGACCCTATATCCCCATGCTCCACAGTGACCAGTACTAGTTCACAATGCCGGGAAAGCTCCTCTTCGTGGCCGGTTGAGCACTTTCAAAAGTCAACGGCAACTCGGCTGTGTAATCGGACGCTATGCTAAAACAAGGCCGATCGTGTAACCCTATGCTCAGTATTGTCTGCTTCACATAATGTTCTGATGTTCTTAGGTGGGCACGGTCAATCAAGCCAATCGAAGGCGATGCGTTCAGCAGAGACCTGAGCCTGAGCAGCTACATCATTCTTGCTGCAAACGTCAATGCAACAGGTGAGAACGCAAAAATGCCACGCCGGGCACAGTAGGAGCGTGTGTCACCACTTTCAGCTGCTGTGCAGCGCACACACAATGCCGCACCTCGTACCCAGACATGCATTTCTGACACTAGAGTATAACATCGCAGTGACATGTTTAAAATTTCATCATTTTTAAATGATTCTAGCTTGACCTTCTGATTGTCTCCATTGTGGATTGTAGCTCCAGCAAACGAAGCCCTTGGTCACATGCATAGTTATCCACCTATGATCCTGCCCGACATGCATACTGCCATGGATCATACATTCAACTACAATGTGAGCGCGGACAGTCCGGACAGCCCGCTGGACACGAGTGCGCTGTACGAGCATGCGGAACGGGCCGAGGAGCCCGCTCCAGTACAAACGCCGCTGGTAAGCAATGCGTGACTTGCATGTGTGTACACGAGTGTGATTATTTGCACGTGCATGTGTGTTTGCCGGCGAAAATGTATTGGAGTGAAATCAGAGAAAGCGCATGCTAAGTTAGCTGCTCTCAAAGAGAAATGTGTGTCACTGGTGTTGGGATGTGCAATGGCATTGACCAGCCAGAACCGAGAACTCGAGGCACATGTTTGTGTCTCCTGCAACCCCATTCCCCATGATTACACGTGTATGTTGGCATGCAACCCCCCCCCCCCCTCCCCTCCACCTCATCCTATGCAAACATAGCCATTCCGTATAAATTCTTCAAGGTTTCTTTTAAATCAATGTGCGTATCTGGCAGGCGATTGACCTGAGTGGCTGTGGAAAGACAAAGGCGTCGGTTTAAACTGGTAATCCGGATGTTTCTGTGGGGTACAGCAAGAGATAACAAATACAACATCAGCTGCTGTATGGACAGATCTAATGTTCCCATTTTTGACATGTCCTTCCCAAACTAAACACACAGAAGACAGGGGCGTCGGAAGGTATTTCAGGGCAGTACGGTCAGCGAATATTCGAGGGACCGCTTCGGGGCCCTCCTATAAAAAATTCAAAACTTGTGGATGAAGTCCTGGACAAGACTGAGCCTTCCAAGACACTCTGCACCAGGTGCTCTGGTGGCCAGGGTTGGCTAAGGATGCTACCATCTACATGGAGTGTTGCTCTGAGTGCTGGAAATGACGTGCTTACAGCCTGCAGGAGGTAAAATGCCAACTGAGGTTTTTTTTTTTTTTTTTTACTAAAAAACACAGCCCTACTAATAATCAGGGGAAGAGGACAACTGAAATGACACTGGACAACAAGACAAAGGGGAGTGGGGGCGATGTGCCGATGTGGTTGGCGAGGCTCATCCGACCGGAGATCTCGGAATCACAGCCTACGACCAGGCATCGATAGGAATGCAGCTAGAGAGGGAGGGAGATCAAGGTTGTTGGTGTCTGCAGTAAAGTAGTATCGGAAATCGCCTTGATTGAAGGGAACTCAGTCACTCAGATTGTGGTTCTCGGTAGCCCTATCTCAATACATTATACGATGCTGTATCTCTAGTAGCTGCCGTTTTTGATGAACTACGCCACCTTCTGTCTTCCCAAGACTCTAGTTTCCGACAATGACCCTAAACTTATCTCAGGGGATACATCAGCATTCCTCCACCATTCGTCCACCTTTAGCAATGTTTGCTCCAGTCCCATGAATGAATAGACCTGCTCTTGTCCCAAAATACCCGCTCCAGTCCTATGCCTGCTTGAATGACATGGTAAAGGGTCTTCATCAAGTACTAAAGAAGAGGCGCGTATAACTCTTAAACCTTATCTCCATTCAAGACGCACCTGAATCAGGTGTTATTCGATATCCACAGCTCACACCATGACTGCATGACTGCGATAAGCAAGTTTCCAGGGTGTCAGATGGAGTGACTGAGAGCTCTCGCTACCTACTCAGAAAAAGACATTATGTCCATGAATTTCTATCAGACCATGGCCCAGGGGTGTCTTCACGATACCTCTGACAAGAGTGAGCGCAGTCTAAATATGTACGATATTTTGACTGCGCCACTACACATGAAACTATAATTTGCAACACAGCTGCCCCCCCCCCTCTCACTCTCTCTCCCTCCCTCCCTCCCTCCCTCCCCCTTCCCTCCCCCGCCCTTCTTTGGAAAATATGGATGCATTTAGTCACTATACTGTTGAGCACAGGTATCGGACACATTGCAGACATCTGATGTTTAGCCTAGAACGCACCTTCTGATGTTCACGCCTGATTTCACCGGCTGCCTCTCGGTATGGAGCCTGCTCCTCGTGTGTCTTACTCTTCCACTTCTTTCCTGGAATTAATGTACAACAACAACAACAACAACAACAACAACAACAACAACAACAACAACAACAACAACAACAACAACAACAACAACAACAACAACAACAACAACAACAGCAGCAGCAGCAGCAGCAGCAGCTGCAGCAGCAGCAGCAGCAGCAGCAGCAGCAGCAACAACAACAACAACAGCAGCAACAGCAACACACATAATTATGTGTGCACACATGCACAAGAAAGAGACATGAAAATGCAGGTACATGTATATCGGTTGTGTGTGTTTCAGATACAGATGCAGCTAGGCATCTCAACATGTTATATGGTGTGGTCAGAAAGTAATACTTATACCGTGCCCAGTGCTTGGCTGCTCAGATTTGAACAGCTTTGAGTTATAAGTACAATGGATAGCTGAACCAATGTGATAGGCAGTATAGGCTGAGCAAGCCTGAGTTCAAAGCTTTATCACTCTAACGTTACAGTCGACTCCAGATTTAACGAACACCAATGTGCAGGAGAATTAGTTCTTTATGGCCGAAATTCTTTGTAACCAAAATTGCACTCGCGCCATACAAGCAACACGTCACGCCTGGCGTGCGGCCCATGGCTGCATATTAAAGTGCACTTGATTTACATGCTCTCCTAAAAGACATGATTTGCTATTAATGAAAGCAGCTCTCCATGAAGGGTCAATTGTGTACGGGTTCAAGCAGGGACATGGACAATGATTTGCTATATCCCGAAATTTGCAACAAGCGAGTTTTGTTATATAATATGTGGAGCTGTATAGCTATAAAAATCTCACATGCAGTGAATGTAGTAAAAGAGTATTGCACATCACACGGGTGTTGTCACGGGAACAGCCAACCACAAGCCAGTCTGCGCAGGCTGTACTTTTTTTGCACCGCTCAGTGTTTGCGTTCGGAGTGGATGTTTGATGCAGAAGGTCTCAAGCTGCTTGGTGCAGACATATTTCCGAATCAGAGCAGGGTGACTTGAAGCTAGCGGTGTGGAGCCAATGCATCCGGATCAATTTGGCGCTTTTTATAACACTGCAGTCACTGCAGCTAGAAGCACAATACCCTAGTTGTGCGCAATGCATGCTGAGCGGCGAGTCTGCGAGGGCGTCCGGCCGCCGGTTCTGATACATGCCGTCGCCGCTGCGCCGAAGCACGTGTACGCACGCACAGACACGCTGTGAACCTACTACAGCACTGCTCAGTGAAATCCGAAAAGAAAGGTTGCTCAAGTACGCGCCGGGAATTGCGCAGCCCTAGACCTGCGAACACTGGGCTGCGAAATGGTGCAAGGCGCGAACTTGATTCACGTGCTCGGATTTCATCAAGCAGCACTGTGTGTTAGTACATAATACTTATATACAGCAAAACCTGTCAAGGCGACCACTCGGATAAGGCGACCACCTGTCCTAGAAGACCACTCGGATAAGGCGACCACCTGTCCTAGAAGACCACTGAAACCATGACCAAGGGATGCTGTTTCCAGTCGAATGATCCTGAATAGGGAGACTACCTCAGGCCCGGCGGAACTGGTCCAGTTGGGCCGGCAATGCCGGGCCGGACCAACTTTTTGCCCATCGACGTGTGTTTGCTGCTGGTTTGGTCATGTGTAGCCACCACCATACACAAAGTATGACTTGCTAGGGTATGGCCGGACCAATCAAAAACTCCTTCCGCAGGTCTTGCACCTGGCAACAAAAGGCAACGTTTTGGACGTCCCTTGGCTTGAGCGGTCGTCTTAGACAGGTTTCACTGAATGACCCTCCAGGACAAGTGGAGCAGTGTCCCAGTGAACATGACAGTCTGTAGTTTAACGGGACAGTATACCAGATAGGCGTTTAGCCTTTGGGTAATCCTGAAATAAAGATTATTACTCATGGTATAGGGGTACACCCTGGCTTACCCAACTGTTTACTGATCTCGGAATTGTGCATGTTCGGATGGTTGCGGGCGATCACTTTCCTTTCCTCTAGTGCAAACAGCATGAACGCATTCATGGGCCTCTTGATACGACTGCTGCTCTTGCCGCCGCCAGTGGCGGATAAAGATTTGTCCGGCTCCGTGTCATCAACGAGCTGCGACTCGCTGTCGGCAAGCGGCTGCCGGCTGTTTCCATTGTCGACTTCAGCAGCAGCAGCTTGACTCCCAGTTGCAGGGACTGTGCATGTGAGCACTGTCTCGTCCACCGCCGCATTCCCCCGCATCATTGTATCACCGCTGGCCCGTGGCGAGGACAGACTCACAGGCACTCACTGTTACTCACTGTTACTTGAGTAACCAGTATCAGACAATAGAAACACGATCAGATACAGGTGATCACGCGCCACACGTGTGAAACGTCTTTCCTCCTAACACAAAAACAGATGAAACCTAACGGCCACACTGACGGCAGTTCTTTCGAGCGTTTCCGCCGCGATCCGCAGACAGCACGCCACTCCGCACTGCTAGTCCAACAGTATGGGAAGCTTTGCAAGAGAATTCCGGCGCTAACGTTTAAGGTGGCTCACACCCTCTGCGCGCGCATCGTTTGGAAAGTGTAGATTTTCAGTAAATTTTTCGGTAGCGATGATTTTTGTGCGATCAATCGTCGTAGGAAACGTCTTCTTGCTTTTCTGCAATTCTGGCGACCTAGCTAGAACCTGCTGCTAGTGTCCCTCTTCACTCGTTCTTTCTATGAAAGGGGAAGGCAGCACTCGCAGAAGATTTTCCAAGAATGCAATGTCGACTGGTGCTCGTACTATAAGAAGGGAGAAATCAAAGTCCGCTCTTGAATCACGCCTGAGTCTTAGAAAATTATTTCAGAATACGCTTGTGTAGATTTCCTGCCAGTGCCACTGACATCTCGCGACCTTCAAATATAACTTGCTCGATCATCTCCCGCACTGACTGGTAAATTCGTCGGGTAGCTGTGGATGGATCGATTCAGGGAGATCGAAGGTAAATACATCGAAGCACTTCAAACACGTTTCAAGACGCACTTCAAATTTTGTAATTGTGGCTTGAAAATTGTTTACAACAATTCGTACTTCAATACGCTGTTGAATTGTATCCTCTGCTTGGGAGTCTCGACTGTTCTATTGCTGCATGGCTTTCCTCAACACCGTTCACTGTACATGTATCGCGGAACGCAGATTGGATGGCATTGGAGGTGAATTTGATAATTTGTGACTGTGTCATCAACCAAGTGAGGACATCAAATATCAACAGGGACGTTCCGAAAATCACAAACGCTGCGAAATAGGTATGAAATGGTCTTACACACTGGTGGGTATTCGACATTCATTGTGTCATATCTTTAGACTGTTCGAAAGTTTGTCGTGCCCTGCAACTTTCACAGACTAATCCGATAATTGGCATGTGGCCCTATCGGCACACACTCATGCGTATGCCGCTGAGTCTATCTATATGTGCACGCACATGTGTGTATACTTACACAATTTTATTACGTATGCAAAATTAGGCAATCTACATGTACATATATATATATATATAAATGTGTGTGCACTCACTCCTATGA